TTAAGGCTGGAATGAGTTAAGATTCTGAGAAACTGTTGAAAAGGCATGGTTTTGTTTTGAATTATAAGAAGGACATGAGATTTGGAAGGGGCCAGGGTGGAACGGCATAGCTTGGCTTTTTGTCCCCACCCAACCTCATCTCAAGTTGTGATCCTTAGTATTGGAGAAAAGTCCTGGTGGGAAGTGACTGGGTGTGTGCAGATTTCCCCCTTGCTGTTCTCATAACAGTGATGAGTTCCTATGAGGTCTGGTTGTTTGAAAGTGTGTAGCACCTCCCCCTTTGCCTTCTGTCTCTCCTCCTCCACCATGGTAAGATGTGCTTGCTTTCCCTTCACTTCCTACCATAATTGTAAGTTTCTTAAGGTCTTCCAGCCATGCTTCCTATACAGCCTGTGGGACTGTGAGACAATTACACCTCTTTTCTTCATAAATTACCCAGTCTCAGGTAGCTCTTTATAGCAGTGTGAAAACAGACTAGTACACCAGACTGAAAAATAAAAAGAGAAGATCCAAATAAATAAAATCAGAAACAGAAAAAGAGATATAACAACTGAGACCACAGAAATATAAAGAATCATTAAAAGTCTATATTATTACAAACAACAGTATGCCAATGAATTGAAAACCCTAGAAGAAAAGGATAAATTCCAGGGCACATAAAACCTACCAAGATTGACCATCAACAAATAGGAAAACTTCAACAAACTTATGATGAGGAACGAGATCAAAGCCATAATAGTCTCCCATTAAATAAAAGCCCAGGACCTGATGAATTCACTGATGAATTCTACCAAACATCTAAATAACTGACAGCAATTCTACTCAAAGTCTTCAAAACAATTGAAGATGAGGGACTACTTTCAAACTCATTCTATAACACAAGCCATACTCTGATACCAAAATCAGACAAGGGTACAATAAGAAAAACAAAAACTATAGGCCAATATAACTGACAAAGATAGATGCAAAAATTCTAAGCAAAATACTAGCAAACCAAATTCAACAACACATGAAAAAGATCATTCACCATGATCAAGTGGGATTCATCCCAGGGATGCAAAGGTAGTTCAACATATGCGAATCAACAAATATGATACATCACAGTAACAGAACCAAGAACAAAAACCATATGATCATTTCAACAGATGCATAAAAGTATTCAGCAAGATTCAACACCTTTATATGATTTTTTTAAAACCCTCAACAAACTAGGTACAGAAGGAACATACCTCAAAACCATAAAGGCGATATATGACACATCACAACTAACATCTTACTGAATGGGAAAAAATGGAAAGCCTTTCCTCTAAGATCTGAAATAAGACAATGATGCCCACTTTCACTACTTTTATTCAGCATTATATTGGAAGTTCTGGACAGAGAAGTTAAGCAAGAGAAATAGATAAAGATATCCAAATTAGATAGGAAGTAGTCAAATTAGCCTTCTTCACAGAAGACATGATCTTATATTTAAAAAACCTAGAAATGCCAGCAGAAAAACTATTAGAATTCATAAGCAAATTCAGTAAAGTTGCAGGATAAAAAAATCAACATACAAAAATTCTATATACCAACAGCAGACAATCTAAAAAAGAAACCAGTAACGCAATTCCATGTATAATAGAGGCACAAAATATAAAATACCTAGAAATCAATTTAACAAAAGATGTAAAAGTCAGATACAAGGAACACCATAAAACTCCAATGAAATAAATTGAAGAGGACACAAGAAATTGAAACTTATTCATGGACCAGAAGAATCAATATTGTTAAAATCACAATGCTACCCAAAGAAAACTTACAGATACAATGCAATTATTATCAAATTATCAATGACATTATTTACAGAAATAGGAAAAAATTATAAAATGTATATAAAACCATAAAAGACCCTGAGTAGCCAAAGCAATCTTGAGCAAAAAAATTAAAGCCAGAGGCATCAAACTACACGACTTCAAAATATACCGCAAACCTGTAACCAAATCAGCATGGTACTGGCATCAAAGCAGACACAGGCCAACAGAAGAGAAGAGCCCAGGTAATAACCCACACATTTATAGCAACCTCATCTTTAACAAAAACACCAAGAAGATACAATGGGGAAAGGACAGTCTTTACAATAAATGGTGCTGGAGAAACTGGAAAACTGAGTATATACAGAAGAATAAAACCAAAGCACTATCTCTCATCATACAAAAAAAAAAAAGGTCAAAATGGATTTAAAACTTATTCTAAGACTTGAAACTGTGAAACTACTAGAAGGAGACATTGAGGAACTATTCCAAGACATTGGTCTCAGCAAAGACTTTTTTAGTAAGACATCAAAAGTATAGGCAACCAAAACAAAAATAGACAAATGGTAGTACATTGAGCCAAAAAGCTTCTGCACAGCAAAAGAAACAGTCAACAAAATGAAAAGACAGCCCAAAGAATTGAGAAAATATTTGCAAACTATCCATTTCACAATGGATTAATAACCAGAATACATAAGGAGCTCAAACAACTTAGTAGCAAATAAATAATTTAGTTAAAAATGGGAAAAATATCTGAAGAGACATTTCTCAAAAGACAACATGCAAATAACCAACAGGTATATAAGGAAATGTTCAGCATCATTTATAATCAGAAAAATGCAAATCAAAATCACAATGTGGTATCATCTCATCACAGTTAAAATGGCTTTTATCAGAAAGACAGGGAATAATGAATGCTGACCAGAAACTCGAGAAACGGGAACCCTCATGCACTCTTAATTAGCACAGCCACTGTGGAAAATTCTATCAAGTTTCCTCAAAATACTAAAGACAGAACTATTATATGATGCAGCAATTCCACTACTGGACATATAATTCAAATTTTTTAAAAATCAATATATTGAAGAGACAGCTGCATTCCCATGTTTATTGCAGCATTGTTTACAATAGCCAAAATAAGGGAATCAACCTAAGTGCACGTCAGTGGACTAATAGGTAAAGAAAATGTGATATAAATCTGCAATGAAATCTTATTTAGCTGTAGAAAATAATGAAATACTATAATTTACAGCAACATGGATGGAATTTGAGACCATTATATTAAGTGAAATAAGTCAAGCATAGAAAGAAAAATATCCCATGTTCTCACACATATGTGACAGCTTTAAAAAGTGGATCTTATAAAAATGGAGAGTAGATAGGTGGTTACTAGAGACTAGAAATGGTAGTGGAGAGGGGAGATGGATAGAGGCTGACTAATGAGTACACATCTATAGCTTTACAGATGAAATATGATCTAGTGTTTGATAGATCAGTAGGGTGACTATAGTTTACAATAATCTATTGTATATTTCAAAGTAGCTAGAAGAGAATAATTTGAATGTTTCTAGAAGAAAAAACAAATATTCAAGGTCATGCATATCCCAATTACACTGATTGTAACAAATTATATAAAATGTATTATGTTATCACATGTACCCTGAAAATATGTACATCTATTATCCAGCAATATAAAACTAAATTTTTTTAAGAAAAGGAAAAGAGTCAGAACCTCAAATAATTAAGTTCTCCTTTAGGCTGCTATCCTATACTTGAAATTTCAGCTATGAACTGGAAAGACATCACATGTGAACACAAGAAACCTACACTTCTTTAGTATCTCCAGAGTCATTTATTTAATAAAGTTTTAAATAAGGAAGTGATGGAAACATGTAGTTAACACATGTTCAAATATTTCAATACACTGATTTGGCTATCAGACTAGCAAAAACAACCCAATCAAGTGTTTTTCCTAGTTTAAGAGCTCTACCCAAATACTACTGCAAAATAGAAGAAAGAATATTTCAACTCAACCTCAAAAATGTCCAAAGACTGAGGAATACTGAAAGAAACTGTAGAACACTTGAACCCCAACACTTGAACCCAAAGATAAAACTGAACAGATCCATGAATGCACAGAATCGTTTGTAGATTTTGGTGTGCATGGTTTATTAAAGTAGTGGGTCTATAGCTTTCAGCAGTTACTCAAAGGCTATTAGAACCACCAGAATAAGGTGGCCATATATTACTGCTGGGAAATCAGACTGACTATAAAGGCAGATAAAAGGGAAATGTGTAAAAGGGATATTTTGTGAAGATTAAGAAACTCAATCTAGAAGGTGATCAAAAGTGCTTTAAAACTATCTGAACAATAACAAAGCCTGAAGTTTACCTTCAGAATTGTATAATTATTCAGACTTTTTCTCTGGAGATGATTAATTTTTTATTTTGTTCAAAGCTTCTGAAACACTCAGATTGAGAAAGTCAGAGCCTGAAGTCCCAGATTCACCCAACTCTGTTATCAATTTTCCATTTGACATTAAACAAATAACTTAAGTTCTCTGGGCCTCTGTGTCCTTATCTGTCAACAGTAACTGATGAGCTTCATTTTAGTTACAATTCTTGGAGGCAATGAATCAATTAAGAACTTCTGACATCATTATGCATAACGTACACATAACTACTAATTTTTCAAGATGTGAGGTCATATTAATTATATATTCTCATCTTAGTTCATAATTAAGAGGCTCCCTGGGAAAATCTTTCATAAATTTTAAGAATCACAAGAATAGAAAGTAACCTGTGGGATAGGAAGGACATCTATACTTACAAAATAAAAGCCTTAAATATGGGTAAAAATTTCTGTTCAAAAAAATTTTAAGCCATACTATTGTGTGGTAGTTTTCAAAATAATTAATAATAATGTGTGAAGAGTTGCCTAGAATAGAATGACACCCAAGTAAGTCATAAAATATGGAAGTACAGCATATGATGTCTTTGTCTACAGACCCCAATAAGATTTCCAATACTTAACATGAACACACGCGCGTGCCTGTGCATGCACTCACACACACACACACACACATTTATTCAACCCGAAATAAGACTAGATTCAAAAGATGTTTTTATTATGCAGTCCTATAAAAAGATTTTGTTACTTTTTGCTTAGAGTAAAAGAATATAAAAATTAGTTTTAAAAAAAGGTACCTGCAGCTAAATGCTTTTCACTCGAAAGAAGCATGGTCACATTATGACCATGCTCTAGAAGAATCTGAGACACCCGGTCCAACAGTAGGTAATGGCTTCCACCTAGAAACAATGCACAATGTCATTTTGTGAAGACGAAAATAGAGTTTCTGAAGACAATATGGGAGGGAGGAATGGAAATCCAGTAGAACAAGTACAGGGAAGAAGAAAGGTGAACAGTGAGCGATGGAGACAAGCGCTTCCTGTTCCTCAATCTCACTTTGGGTGATGCCCAGCACATGCACCCAGAGCCTCCTGTACTATGTGCAGGACCTGTAGGAATCCTCCACCAAAAATTTCCACTTGTGGCTCAAAGTCTCTGCATCAGTGTAATAAGTGTCTCTGTGATTATGCCTGTAAAAGTTGCTCATCTTAAGGTACATGCTGCATGTTAATTGGGACCTTAGAGAGACGTTGTCTCCAAAATACAACTGCAATGGTAGAAACTATAGTACAGTAGGTGTGCACATTAGTATCCAGGGTTCCCAATGGGCAGTCAGTCAGAGCTAACTGCTGTCCTATTCTGGAAATGTATGCTATTGTAGGAGACAGAAATATAGATGTCACAAGGTGAGTCTAAGAAACAGCCATTGGACAGAAGCTACTACTTAGAGCCCAAATCATTGAGATTCAAATGTGCTTAGCAGGAAATTACTCAATTTGGGCCAATGTTCAACTTACAAGTAAGATATTTGAGGACAACTGCGGAGCCCTTGGGGTGAGCCTACTAGATCCTGGTTGCACCAGAAACTAAGGAATCACTGATTCTAGGAAAATTCCACCATGCTAAAAAAAGAGAAGCTTGGTCATATTAAGGTCTTCTCTTAGTACCTGTTCTAACACAGAGCCTTCACTGGAATCTAACGGTCACAGCAGCAGAAAAAGGAAGATCAGAAGAGAAATTAATCAAAAAATGCCAAGAGTTTGAAGGTAGAGGTGGAAGGGGAGCAGAGAAGTAGGGTGCAGCTCTCCGAATGACTCGGTTTCCTTATACCCAGACTTGAACAGTCTAAAGCAACAAGGGATATATAAAATACAAATCTGCCACAGGTCTTGCTCACATTTCAATCCATGTAAGAACAGGGAGCCAGGAAGTAGGGAGTCCTCACAGAAATAGCCATTCATGCTGGATCTTAAGGAGTCAGATAGCGTTCTGGGGCAAAGACCAGGATTCCAGCACCAGGAGTCAGAAACGACACCAGCTCCCTTTTGGAGTCTGAGGAAGGAGGACAGTGTACTTTCAAGAAGTTTGGAAGCTCTGTTGCTTCACTGCTACTAACACTCAGAAAGGAGGGAAAAGGCTTCAAATGGACTAACAGTTTCTTAGTGATTTTTCAAAATCCTTAGTGAAAAGGGCCTCAGCGTGGAAGCGGTGGTGAGTGTGGTCTTGGGGTAAGAAACCCTGAGTCAATTGTACATGGGACATTAGGGACGACACATGTCCTCTTAAGAAAGGCATCTCACTCCCCGTCCCTCAACTGCCCTCTCAGAGAATCAAAAGGGCACTGAATTAGATGATCCGTTGTTCCTTCAGCTGTATGAGCCCTGACTGATTCTCCGTGATCGAAAAGGAATCCATTAAAACTCACTACGGATTGAAATAAAGTCTGGGGGAAGCTCGATCCTGGGATGACCCCTTTATGCTCATGTGTGATTCTCTTTCATCTTCTACTTCCTTTGAAATAAAAATAAAATAAAACTGAGGCCCAAAATGCAGAATTAACAGTCCCATGAATCCCTCAAAAACGGTCAGCGGCACAGGTAAAAGGAAGGAGGCTCCGAAAGATCCGAATGATCTGGGTCCTCTCCTCAGCCCTGGGCGGTTCTCCAGGTCTCCTCTGAAGAAAAACACTCCACTGGCCTTGCAGCCCTGAAATACCTTGCCTGCGCCACCCTGGCTCTGGATGAGCTTCACAGAATTTGCAGTGCTGCCCTCAGGAGCGCCTTTCCCTGGTCTCCAAGAGGCTGGAAGCGCTCGCCACCGTTTCTACTGGAAGCTACTGCGCACTTCCCGCCCTCTGGAACTTAGGGTGAACCTCGGAAAGTCCCGCTGCTCTCTGGAGAAGCAGCCCAGGAACTCAAGGTCTGGTCTGGGTCGCAAACTTCTGGCCCCAGCCCTGCGCGATAGGGAGCGCGTCCTGAACAGGAAGAGAGAGGAAAGGATAGTCTCTTTTTCCCAAAACTATTTTCCCTACCTCAGCAATAGAGGCCCCTCTCTGCCCTACAGCTGGATGGGCTTCTCCCTCCTCCAGCCCGGCCGCAAGCCCAACCCGGAAAACCGCCTAGATGACTCTGATCAATTGCCGTTCGCGGGAGCCCTGGCAGTGCGGGTATCTGGGACGCGCCTGTCTGGGAATTCTCTGGCCAAGCACTCACCCAGTGTAGATATTGTCAGGATTTTGGCGGCCTCTGAGAGGAGGACCCCAGGGAGAAGGAAGCCCACTAGAAGCAGCAGGCGCTGCCCAGCCATGCTCACTTCCACAGGAGCCGCGGACCTCAGCCTGGGCTACTCGCCCTGCGCTCGGCTAAGGAATCTTTGCGTCTTAGTGCGCCAGACTCACTGGCTGTGGGCCTAGGAAGAGGTAGGAGGGAGGATCCTGCCAATTCTCTTGCTCTTCTGTTTGTTCTCTTTCCCTCTACCCCTCCTCCCTCGGTGCATGCTCCAAGGGATAATCTGTCCTTGCCCTATCGAACTACCTGAAGTCAACTAGGAGGGGATGGGTAACCTGATCCTTAACCTTTCTCTGCCCCTGTAATCACAGCTCTTTCACGTGGAAAATCCTTACTAAGAGCCATGAATGGCAGGGGCCTCAGTAAACCACGTTAATGAAGGCTCCATCCCCTTTTGTGGAGCTGTCTGTCTCTACCTACCTCCATCCCAGCTGCCTCTGTTACCTCATATTGCCATTTTCGTGCCCCATTTTCTCCCAGGAAAGTGCTGGCAATCACCAGCTGGTGTCCCAAGCTCAAGTCGTCCCTTAGAGGGAATCCCCAAGGGAATTTGATCTACCCTCTCTGAGGGACTCTTTAGAAGGTAACATTCATGAAGAGGAACAAGCGTTCATACATATATATATATATATATATATATATATATATATATATTACTGCACTTTAGGTTCTGGGGTACATGTGTAGAACATGCAGGATTGTTGCACAGGTACATACATGGCAATGTGGTTTGCTGCTTCCACACCACCGTCACCTATATCTGGCATTTCTCCCCATGTTATCCCTCCCCACCTCCCTACCCATCACTGTCCCTCCCCTATTCCCCCCCAACAGACCCCAGTGTGTGATGCTCCCCTCCCTGTGTCCATGTGTTCTCATTGTTCAACACTCACCTGTGAGTGAGAACATGTGGTGTTTGATTTTCTCTTCTTGTGTCAGTTTGCTGAGAATGATGGTTTCCAGATTCATCCATGTCCCTACAAAGAACACAAACTCATCACTTTTTATGTCTGCATAGTATTCCATGGTGTATATGTACCACATTTTCCTTGCCCAGTCTATCATCGATGGGCCTTTGGGTTGGTTCTGGGTCTTTGCTATTGTAAATAGCACCACAGTAAACATACATGTGCATGTGTCTTTATAATAGAATGATTTATAATCCTTTGGATAAATACCCAGCAATGGGATTGCTGGGTCAAATGGAATTTCTATTCTAGGTCCTTGAGGAATCGCCACACTGTCTTCCACAATGGTTGAACTAATTTACGCTCCCACAAACAGTGTAGAAGTGTTCCTATTTCTCCACATCCTCTCCAACAACTGTTGTCTCCAGACTTTTTAATGATCACCAATCTAACTGACGTGTGATGGTATCTCAATCTGGTTTTGATTTGCATTTCTCTAATGACCAGTGATGATGAGCACTTTTTTATATGTTTGTTGGCCTCATAAATGTCTTCTTTTGAAAAGTGTCTCTTCATATCCTTCACCCACTTTTGAATGGGTTCGTTTTTTTCTTTTAAATCTGATATTTCACAAACCTGACAAAAACAAGCAATGTGGAAAGGATTCCCTGTTTAATAAATGGTGTTGGGAAAACTGGCTAGCCATGTGCAGAAAGCAGAAACTGGACCCCTTCCTGACACCTTACACTAAAATTAATGCCAGAGGGATTAAAGACTTAAACATAAGACCTAATGCCATAAAAACCCTAGAAGAAAACCTAGGCAAAACCATTCAGGACACAGGCATAGGCAAGGACTTCATGACTAAAACACCAAAAGCACTGGCAACAAAAGCCAAAATAGACAAATGGGATCTAATTAAACTCCAGAGCTTCTGCACAGCAAAAGAAACAATCATTGGTGTGAACTGGCAACCAACAGAATGGAAAAAAAAGATTGCAATCTACCCATCTTACAAAGGGCTAATATCCAGACTCTACAAAGGAATTAGTGTACTAATTCTGAAAGTCACTCTGGGTCTATACCTGGAGACTGAAATTCAAACACAGAGACTATGTGTATCATAAAATAGAACTGGGGTTATTTTGATATCTCCAAAGCACAAACTAAGGATAGCTTGTAATTCTGCCCCTTTGAAAGGTCAACCCTGGGGAGGACAGGGATCACTACACCAGATATAGTCACCTTTGCATTCTCTATCCTCAAGCCAAGACTTGCTTTAGGAAAGGCTGTCAGTGCAACTCTAGACAGGCAGAGAAAACCTTCAATTGATTATATCTACAGGCTGCAATGGGACCCTTGAATTCTGCTTGTACTATTCCTGCCTTCAGTCTACAGGTATTGCATTTTTCATCTGAATTTAAAGCATTACATTTTTATACATTTGTGTATTCCTCACCTAGACATGTCCACTGTGGAGAGGGAGGAAGTGAGAAAGACACACACACACACACACACACACACACACTGGCGCACACACACACACACACCTGCACACACACACACACACACACACACACACACACACGGTTAGGGGAGTGAAAGGGAGAAAAGGAGAAGTGTGGGAGGAAGGAAGGTTTACCAGGCATCACAAGACTCCAGTCTATCTATTCTTATACCTTTCATAATGCACTAGCAAAATAAAGGACTTGCTATTAAGCTCCAAGCTCTTCATTTACTCAACAATTATTTTGACAGCTACTTACTATACCAGATACTGTTTGCTGGACAGACAGAAGCTAAACACAATCAGAAATAAAATACTTAATAGATTCATGAGAAATGCTGCTAAGAAAAAACAAGGAAAGAGATATGAAAGTTCAGGTATTAGAAGTGGTAATATATTAAATAGTATGACTTAAACCAACTCTAAAATATTATAGGAGTATCAGAGAAATATGAGCACAATACTTGATGACATTAAGTAGTTATTATTGCTTTGAAGAATTTTATGTTATTGTGAAAGGAAATTAAATTTGGGGACCCCAGACTCATTTGGTCAAAGGAAAAAGTCAAGCTATACACCTCCCCTCTATGTTCCCCACAAGGAAATTCTTAGTGAGCTCTTAAAATTTCATCATGGCAATGCAAATTGATAGCTTATTTTTACAGGTGCAGTCACCCATGTAATGGTAGATTCTCTGCATTTTTTTCTCTGCCCCGTTTGTTTTATGTCATCTTATGTTAAAAACGTAAATTCACTGAGGCAGACAAAGGCATGAATGACTATTTTTCCCTATCCACCCCTTACATGAAATTTGTGTACTTCTCAATATCCCACCCTTTTCACTCTAAATTTGGAGTCCTCAAAGTTATCTTTGCAGAGAAGCATAGGCCTGTCTCCCAGGTGTGCGTCCTTAACTTTGGCAAATAAATCTCCTAAAATGATTGAGGTTTGTCTCATCATTTTTCTCTATTGACATCTGGTAACCATGGAGGAATCCTGAGTGAAAGTGACCCAGCCTGCAACCTCTCATCTCTTGATGTTTGGTACCCACTTGGGCACCTCATACCCCAAACCAATAGGACAGTTTTCTGAAGTCCAGGACCTCTTTTCTCCAGGAATCCCTGATCTTCCAAAGTTTTTCAGGAATCCGGGGGTCTGAGGTTTATTTGCTGTAAAAATAAATAAATAAATAAAACTCCTTTTTTGTGGTAGTTTCCCCTCATTTTCATCAAGGAGGGCGAGCCTGTCTGCTTCTGTTGCTTCTGTATCAGCAGAAAGGGGTCTTCAGCTTGTGCCTCCATCACTAGGTAAAGAACTGATTTGGGATTGTGTCCTGTAAACTCTTTGAAATGACTAAAATTAGCATTAACAACCAGCTGGTGTTAATTTCCCACTTACACTTAGAGCACTCAGAAATTGTATAATTTATGTCATTATTGTCAGTTTTGCTTAACTGTTTTGTTGTTTGTTTCTAGTTTGTTTGCTTGTTTGGAGCCTGTAGTGAGTGTGTGTGTGTGTGTGTGTGTGTGTGTGTGTGTGTGTGTGTGTGTCTATGTTTCCGTTCTTTCCCCTGTCAGATCTGACCAACTCCAAACCCTCTGGCTCATAAAGGTGAAATCTTTCACTCTGAAAAAGAAATAAGAGCACCTTGCTCCCCTGGGCCTCTTGGGGCATTCTCAGCTGACTGAGAATCACAGGAGGGTGACTGGGAGAAATGCTCCCTAAGCTGTGCAGTGCCTCTAAATAGGTTTCCCCCTCAGAAGAACATACTTAGGGTCTCATCTCAGCTGACAGGTGCATATAAGGAGCTGATCCCTCCCACACCTTGAGCCCCTGACACATATACCAGATAGCTGTGACATGAGTAGACCAAACCAGTTCAGGGTGTAATGACCCTGAAAAGCTAGGTCTGCAAGCAGCACATTTGAGATCCAACACATGTCCCAACTTGGTGAAATCCAAAAAGGAACTCTAAATTATGGGGAATGAGGTCTCTAAGACCCCAGATGAACATAAAATTCCCCCTTCAGAAACTCTGGATGAGTATATGCAAAATACGTACAGCAAATAGTCTTGCAAATATTTAACCAAATGGACCACTATATCTAAAGCGGATTCTGAGTTACAATGGCCTAAGCGGGGATCTTTTTGGAGATGCCCAAATTAGTGTACCTGTGAACCAGGATGGAAAATGCAGGCACAAAAACTAAACAACCAGAATGGGGGAGCTACTTTTCGTGGTATCTGGAGAGCTGCAAAAGTGTGGAAGACTGCCTCATCTCCCTACAGGAGGCCAACAAACAACTTAGAAATGCAAATCAAGAACTCTATAACCTTTTACCTCTCTTAAAGAAATCCTTTACTTCCCTATTGGCACCTCCCTCACCTCCAGCTCCACCCACACTCTACCCTGACTTCTCGAACTTCCCAGATCAGATCTGTGTCCCCTTCTCCTGCATGTCTACCACTCACTCAACGGAAGGCAGTCAGTAATGTGATTCCAAAGACCCCACTCCCTGACGATTCCCTGACAGCCCCAGTGGCAGCATCTCATCCGGAAGATGTGAAAAAGGGGAACTCTGCAAGGACATCTCTCATGATTGCCCCATTTCAGGAATAACCAGTAACAGATAGGGGATCCCTAGCAATTGTATACAAACCCTGATCAGAGGCTGACTTATAAGGCATAGTTAGAGAATTTCCTGACCTTTATCTAATTGGATTAAGATCCAATT